GGCACGTGTGGAAGCAGCCCTCAGGTCCCAGGGGAATCCCCCATTCTGCCCGTCTCCAGGCCCCACCCGACGCAACGCCTCCTCCTGCCACTTGAAGTCTGACTGAGGCATTCGTGTCCCCTGCGGTTAAAGGCGTCAGGATGTGCCCTAAGTCTTTCTTCTGTCCTTCCGGCAGGAGCAGCTGCCTGCACTTCTCCTTCCTGAGTCTGGACAAACACAGAGAATGGCTGGAGTACTTGCTGGAGTTTGCTCAAGATGCCGCCCCGATCCCAAACCAGTATGACAAGCATTTCATGGAACGGGACTACACGGGTTACGTGCTGGCCCTGAACGGCCACAAGAAATACTTCTGCCTCTTCAAGCCCCAGAAAGCAGTGGAAGAGGAGGAAGCCATGGGGTCTTGCGGTGCCCTTGACTCTTCCCTCCATCTGGGCGAATCGCGGGGGAAACCTTCCTGTGGCCTTGGACCCAGGCCCGTCAAAGGAAAATTGAGCAAGTTGTCCTTATGGATGGAGCGGCTGCTGGAAGGCTCCTTACAGAGGTTTTATATCCCGTCGTGGCCCGAACTAGACTGAGAGGGGCTCAAGAGAGACTTAAACTCTTCAGGCTTTTTAATAGGCCCCTGCGAACAGGCCTTTTCAGGACTCAACCTATCACCGAGGACAGAGAATAGATTCTAGATTATTCTTCTGGAACAGTGGCTAGAAGAATCTTTCCTTTGTCCTGTTCTAACCCGGGAGTGAAAAACACCTCAAGCTGAATCCCCCAGATCAGAAGATTTTCCTGTGGGTTTCTTCGCCCTCGTTTGAATGCCACACCATTTAAAGCAGACTGCTCATCCCCTCTTTTTTGGTCGTCCCGTCCCGTCACATGCTCACACCTCGCTCCCCTGTCCTGTCTCTGTGCTGTGGGAGAAGCTGGGGGCTCCAGCCCGCAGCGGTACCCAGACGGAACCTCGCGAGCCCGGAGTGCCGGTCGGGTCACTTCCCGCCCTGCCCCACCCCCGCTCTGCTTCCGCCCCGGTGCATGCTGCGTCACCCGGACAGCCCACGGCAGCTTCTAGGCCCTGCATCCCGAAAGAGGCCCGGTTCCAAGCAACCTTAACATTTGATAGTTTTTCCAGTAGTCAGTGGCTAAAAGTATATTTGGGGGGTATCCCCCTGCCCCGGTTTGGCAGCCAGAGTTCTAAAAGGCTGGGGATAAGTGGGGGCTCTGCATGTGAATTTGGTTTCCTTCCCAAGACAAAAGAAGGGAGGGCTGGGCAGTGACCGAAGTGACCTCTCGGTGGTGTCCCCCCGGCCGCCGCCTCAGCACTAGATGTCGCCAGGGAGGGATCTGCACGGCAGGAAGTACTGTAATGACTTTGAGCCATTCACGCGTACGTTTTCCCATGCCTTTCTCCCTCTGTCAGTTTTAGGGTATGAATCTTAGGAGCCATGATTTGTGACCTTGTTCTCCGGACGTAGAGATAAGCTGCTAGAAGCCAGTAGATGTTCAATGAAGACACCTCATTCCCACCTGCCCTGAGTCAGGCTCGAGGAACCTCCAGTCGTGTCTCTTTAGTAAACTACCAGACCTGTCTTTGTATCAAGGAACTTAAAATTTCTTTTCAACAATTGTATTTTGAACACTGTTACCCCCAAAGTGCTGTAACTTTGGGCTCTCTTTTGTGACAAGTGACCCAAGACTTGTTCTAGACTCCTGTTTGGCAAAAGGCTTCCTTTGAGCTTCTGGCCTAGATTTTGATATCTCAGTTGCTTTCACTCTTAACTCAACAACTGCTTCACCACTAACAGGGTCCGACCCACCATCAGCACCCAGCTTGCAGAGCTCCAGTGCACAGTGGATCACACCAGCCAGTTAGAGAGCTTGCCTTTTTTTCTTGTCTTTTTTCTTTTTTCTTTTTTTTTTTTTTTTAGGGCAGAACCACCGGTGGAGTTTGAACAACTTCCAAGAGTGGTCAGTTCTCCTGTCAAAGTAAATTTGCCCTTCTATAAAAGGAAGGGTCGGAATCACTGATGGGACATTTACTGAGTTAGTATCTCTTTAATCATAATTGCTTGAAACTAAGCGATTTGGATCCTGAATAATTTAAATATTGAGCTACAGTGGCAAGTAATTAATTATTTAAGCCCAGGAGTTCCTGTAGTTTCCGTGGAGTCTGTAGCTTTATTTAAAAAAGGAAGAAAGAACGAAATCACTGCCAGGCTGCATTTTTTTTCCACATGATCCTCTAAAAACTGGATGCTTGCTCTGGTGGCCGTACCTCCTGGCACCTGGCCCAGGCAGGCGTGATTAAGGGACTCATTTGGTTCCTCGATGCGCCGTCCTCCGAGTTATTTTCTAGGTCTCTTATGGTTGCTGATGCGAGTGGTGTTTTGGTTCAGTGGTGGGCTTTGGTTTTTAACTTCTGGTACTAATGGGATTCGTGACCTTCATTTCTGAAAACAGAATCTCCCCAGCTTTGTTCACTTTAAAAATGTTTCCCATTAAAATCAAAAGCACCTTCGGACAGTTAGCCGCACCCTCCTTTGCACTGAGAAAGGAAAGTGAGAATAGGATTAGAAACATTCCTGGCAAATTCTTCCACTGGTCTGTTTGGGGCTGAAAGAGATGTCCCCCAAGAGGACACTAGGGAGGTTTTACTTCGACTGAACTTCGCCCTTGACCACCCAAGCCTATCCTCCTGAACGTTCCCATGAATTGGTTTACTTTTGTGTCAGATGTATGAGCCGCTGTCACACTCGGCCAATGCCACCTTTTCCCCTCTTGTGTGTAATCACACAGACCTAATTTCAGCTTTAAGTTAACTTCCTGGCCTTTGAATATGTTGAGACTGACAATGTTGTTTTATTTTTAGAAGTAGGGTTTTCTGGTTGATAGAGACTACGCATCATGTTTAGCGGATGGGGATGAAAACTGGCCTAAAACAAGTCTTTGTAGAATACACACCTACTTACAAATATTTTTTTTATCGTCCAGGTGCCGGTGGCATAATTTGTCTAAGAGATTGTCAGCTATGAGTCAGCAGCGTTTCCATAAGACCACCTTGACTTCCATTAAGCACCATGGTCTCTCTCTGCCATCACCTACCGACCGTGAAAATTTGGCCGTACTTTTCAAATTAATAGGCTGATTGCCTCCTCGTTCAGCACATACTTGTTTTTCCTGATTTAAAAAGAAATGAGGTCTAACTGTGTTTTAAGTGATTTGCTTTGTTTGGGAAAAGAGATTGGAAGCAGACACTCAAATTTTTTCCTAAGTAAAATTCTTTAAAAGCTGATGCAGAATGTCTTTACAGATGAAATAATTGCTCGCATCCAAATGCCTGACCTTGTCCCTTGGAAACAAATGCAGTGTGGCAGCTGTGAATCTGTCCACTCAGTTTGTCAAGGAGGAGGATGAAACTTTAGAGAGCGGTCTGAAAAGAAGGTGAATATTTTGCACTTTTGATACTCTTAGGAACAAATAACTCACTTGGCAAATGGTGTCTTTTTTATGTTGTTTTTGTTTTGTATTGTGAACAGGCACTGAAGCTGATGTTATTTTTGTTTTAAGAATATTACAGACTGGAAACAGAAATAAACTATTTTAATGTGTGACGATTACGCATCGCCCTTGCATCAGGAAGAGGAGGATTTGATCGTGGACCCATTCTCAACAAAATTGTATTTGCGTGTAACTCAAACACATGCCTGAATCTTCAGTGCAGATCTCAGGAGCTGCTACCCTAGAGGGTGGGCCAGCGCAAAGAGCAGATGATGCGAAACTGAGGCAGGGAGTAGGTTAAGGAAGTGTCACCAAGGGCACTTTGGAGGCCACCCGCTGTCTGGTTGAAAAGACATTCCATGCGCCCTCCTGGGCTGTTGGCTGGGCAGTTTCTTTGTGAGAGTCTGCATGTTACTTTCAAACTATTTGTTTATGTTCACAAATGGCCTAAAACCCAGACGCAGCCCTGAGTTCCTCAGGAGGAGCCATAGTGTAAAGGAAGAGGAACTGGAGACATAGGAGATGTTTATACGGGATTCTGTCCTATGGGTTTGTTTGTTTGTTTTTTTTTAATTTCACTTCTCCAGTTTTTAGATAATCCTAAACTAAATGCTCTGTCCCTTGTAACAACACACGTGCTTCTCTTTAATTCAGACTCCTTAGAAATATTAGCTGTTGGATCAGACTTCTACTGAATGCCCTGATTTTACAGCCTCCAGTGACACTCTAGCAGAAGGTTTTACTGGCATAAATTTGAGTACTCAGGCCTCTTGCACATAAATTCCTGAGAATCTGTCATCGACACAAGCTGCTGATTTATCAGGAAGAGCACGAGGTTCAGACAACTGTCACTTTGGGGAGCACACACAGCATCTCAAACAGCAGGTTAGCCGCCAGGAGGGCCGTGTTTCCTACAAAGATAAAAAACCAAAGGTGAACACCGAGCCAGCGGGCCGAGCCTCTCGCTTGCCTTTGTGCTGCCTTTCCAGATTCCCTCTTCTGCCCAGCCACCCTGTGGACACGCTTTCCCCTGAACCAGAAGGCTCTTTGTTTACAAACAGATTCCCACCCCAAAGGAAAGCCTATAATAATGGTGTGTATTGTATTTATCACCTACTCTCCTCCGAAGCTAACGGGCCTCAGTCTGTAAGTTCTCTAAATTGAAATTGTTGGGGCGGCCTCTGCTTTGAATATCTCTCCTAAACCAGCTAACTGCCCACTTTTTTAATATTAATAAACATCACTTAGGCCGCGACAATTCACTTCTCCATGAAACAGCAAAGGAGGAGGGGGGGCTGTGCTATCCTACTACCAATTACCTTATCACTGTTCCTGCGGGCTGGTTTTCCTTCTGCTGACGGGAGGGCAAGCTAGTAAGAGCCACCTCCCAGGGGTGTGTGTTCGAGTTAATTAGCTCACGTCTGTAAGGTGTGGAGCAATAGGTTTATTTTCTTCACTGCAGAACACGCGCAGCAGGTTCCCAAGTTATACAAAAGGACGCAGCCATCTTCTACTTATTAAGCAGATTAATAGAATTTAAACTCGCAGCTGCTTACGGATCACAGTACTGTCGCTTACTCACCAGAAGGATCATAAGGCGGTGACACTTCCACAAGATCACAGCCCACCACGTTCAGGCCTTGACAACCCCGGATGATTTCCAGCGCCTGTCCAAGACCAAGCCTGAGTTGTCCACAGCAGTCACCATTGACCGGGAAAAGCAACTACAGAGATCTCAGTGGATCTCTCCCAATGCATGCCCACCCTTGGACTTGGAGCTGTTGCTTCCGCTCGATAAACGTTTATCGACTGCCAGGCACACTGCTGGGCATCACGTAGACACAAATGGCCAACACACAGCCCCTGCTCCCGAGGGGGTCCATCGTGTGATGACGGACACAAGCAAACCAGTCATTTCAATGTCATGCATGAAAGGCTTCAAGAAAAGCAAGCGTAGGGGTCCCTGGCTGGCTCGGTCAGTAGAGCATGCAGCTCTTGATCTCAGGGTTGTGAGTTCGAGCCCCGTGTTGGGTGCAGAGATTACTTTAAAAAACAAAAACAAAAAACACAAGTGTAGCAAAGTATAATACAAAAACCACCCAAATTGCTGGGGGAAGCCCTCCCCAAGGTGGAAACACTTAGTTCAAGGAATTGACCAAGCAGGTTAGGGATAGGGCAGCCTGGGCAGAAAGACACACGCAAAGACCCCAAGATGGAAAGAAATACCGGCAGTTGGATGTGGCCAGAAGACAAGATAAGTGAGGGGGATGGTAGGAAGAAGTCACGTCATCTCAAAGAGTTTCCATTGTGCCGGTGAAAAGCCCAGAAGAATGATAAACTGAGGAATGAGCATTGTGTCTTAGAAATCTCTCCGAGGGGAACCGATGGAGAATGGCTTGGAAGAGGTAGTTGCTAACACGCCCCTTTCTTAGAGGAGATAAGATCACTGATAGGTGTAAGTGGCCTTCATTTATTTACTCAAGTGCCTTTGAGTTCCTAGCCTTTAAGTCAGGCACTGTTCTAGACTGAGGGGTGGACTGGTAAAATAAAAGCCCTACCCTCCTGCAGCTTACCTTCCAGTTATAACCACACTCCAATTCTGCCTCCTGCATTAATTCACACTCAGCACACCTTAAGAAATCTCTATTTGGGGGCCACCTGGGTGGCTCAGTTGGTTGAACATCCAACTCTTGATTTTGGCTCTGGCCATGATCTCACAATCATGAGGGTCCGCACGTCAGGGTCCACACTGGGCACGTCACCTGCTTGAGATTCTCTCTCCCTCTCCCTCTGCCCCTCCCTGCTCATGTGCACTCGCTCTCTCTCTCTCAAAAAAGGAAAAGAGAGAGCTTTATTTGGATGTTTCTAAAACTCTTGAACTACCTTGGTAGGTAGTCCCATAGTGAGCACTTTTTAAATTTAACCCCCAAAAGAT